GCCGCGAGGAGACTCTCAAGGTGCGCCAGGAGAGCGAGGTTGCGCTCAAGTACTTTGGCAACCTCTACCGCAACAGCGGGCAGCAGAGAGCGGTGGTGCAGGGCGTCGACCTCGACGCTCCTCCCCCGGGCGCTGCTGCGGCTGGCCTTCACTGAAAACCATTCGTTGAAATCTCTCAACTCATCCCTTGATTGTGGCTCGATACCTAACGACAGCATGGAACGGCGTTCATATTTTCGGTGGTTGATGAACTGGGCTCCCCTCGATCGAAACCCTCCTACCCGGGGGGTCTTTGTACGCACCTATACCTGACTTATTCCCCCTTTTTTGTTTTGATGAAAACGGTGTGTTGGAGAGCGGATGGAGCTGATGGGCAAAAGATATATCACATACGTAGAGGCCTGAGAAAAGAAAAAAATCCGATCCTAATCCGCTCAATCATCATGCTGAAAGCCTGAGTTCTTATCACCCGTCTGATACTTGCATTGAACCTCAACACCAACATCACATCATGCATTCGTGTGCTGGCCCACCTCCCTTTCGGCCGCGAAGCCGAACGTGGTTCACAGGAAACGTCCGAAGCACAGGATGACAGTTCCGAGAGCGAGGTTGCGAAGAGCGCCCACACAGGCCCGAGCTCAAGGACGCAATCTCGGAGAGAGCATTGGGCTTACGTATCCCGTTAGCTACCGAGAGCCGGACTGGACGGACCCCATCGACCGGAGGAGGGAAGCTCACATTAGCGCGGGTCCGGGTCCCTCCCCGCCCCCTATCTGTCTTGCCTCTCGCTTCGGTTTCTCTCTCTCGTTCTCCTACTCACGTCTCTGCGAATCTTTCCTAGCTCGGCGTGCGACGTCCTCAGATTCGCAGCCCAATCTTTCGAAACATTTGAAGGCGGTTTCCACCGTCGGTGTGGGTGTCACATCTAGTGATACTGGGAGTGTTCTAGATAATCCCGCTTTCCCGGGGTGGGTTCTTGTCGATTTTGATTGATTTGATGGGGCAGCCGGCGCCCCGCCCGTTGAAGAATTTAGATGAACCTCTCTTTTGTCTTCCATTTATTTGCCGCATGCCTGCTCGTAGGGTTTTTTTGGGGGGAGTTTCTGATTATGCACGTAATGTGCTGCGGATAAGCCGCGCTAGGTTTTATGATGGGACCTTGTGGTGGTGACATGTTATGTTCCTCGTTTCCCTGTGTGTGTTGCTTGTTTCTACCGTCTGGAGATGTTGGTGGCGGCAAGCTTCCTGGACTTCTTGGACATGGAGGTCCGCTTGGACCTCCTTTTTCCTCTCTTCGTCCTTTGCGTGAAGAGAAGGAATCCGAATAGCCAACGTTTTTTTTTTTTTCTTTTTTTTTTTTTTTTTTTTTTTTGGAGGTTGAGCTTCCTGATATGCGGCTACTGCAAGCTGCACGAAGGGAACAAGCGAAGGACCGATTTAGTGGGTTTTTGTATGCAATGCATGCGAGCTGCAGAACACTTTATCTGAGCTCTTCCTTGTGGAAACATGCGGTTGGGATTGGGACGACCTTCCTGCTCAGACCGTTTAATACAAACACTGCACTGCTTGCTTTGCGGTCGAAAGCAGGCCTCAGTTCCTGACGGGCGACCGACCGTACAAGGCATACTGCGATGCCGATCTGTATATGATAAGGGGGGGGATTGCACTGCAGCAAACATCAGATCCAACCCAAGACATTGTTCGAGACACGCGATGTCCGTCTACCGGTTTCTGGGCTGTGGGGAAAGATGCTAGCTAGTATTGGGATTGAATGAATTATTTCGGAAGGGCAATCTGGGCTAGGGAGATCGGTGGACACGGAGCACGTGCGGGCTATGGATAGTGTATTTTACGAAGCGTGGCATTTTCGTCTTTTTGATTTGTTTGGCGGAGTTTGGAACGGCCTTGCCTGGATATCATTCGTGTTGGTATGAAAGAGGAGACGGCCGACAGATGAGGGGTCAAAGCGTCGGGGAGGGGGGAAGAGGAGGATGGGTGGTGTGAGGGTGTTCAGGTTTTTTTTTTTTTTTTTTTTTTTTGGCGCTGCGCGGTCATTACGATGATGGAGGAGAACGACGCTTCATCCTGTACTGACGTGACGCCTTGTGTTGGTTCTCAGGCATGAGGATGATGACAAGAGTTTAGTTAGGTGGCGGTTGGTTGGTTGGTTGTGGCTTTCCTGTCAAAAACCATCCCCCTCCACAGACGGAACCGGCAGGGTGGTATTCGTTCATGACGACGATGACCACCACCACCACCACCACCCTGTCAGTGTCAAGCAAACTCAGAGTTTCTGGCAAGAAGAAAAAAAAAAGTTCAAGGGTCGATAGTTCCCGGGTTCCCACGCAACGGGAGCGACACGGAGATCAACCCGCTGGGATGAACTTTGCCAATCCCCTATTTTTGTGATGTCCTGCGGGGTGCTATTTCTGACATGAGTTCTGGTCTTGCACTGCGATTTTCCTTGGGGAAGTTCAATCTTAAGTAATGCGTGTAAACGACGAACAATCTCCTGCGCGCGCCCAACGGGGATTGGAAGAGAGGTGGAAAGAGTCATGCACCTGGCGATGAATTGTCATTAATGCGATTGAAAGTCGAATCGACGATTGGGCTCCTGGTTCTAGCAAGACCCGGGCTGGATGATGGCAGCAGAAACCCATTCGTCGCATGTTGGTGGGAGGATGCGTCGAAAGCAGTTTCATTAAGCACTTCTTTTAATATAGACGGCGACGTTATTATTGTCTTTGTCCCCATTGAAAGGCAGGCAGGCCGGGACTCCGGCGCGTGCAGGATTGGGACGTTTCAAGCTTTCCCGTCCCCCTGGATCGTTTTGCCAGGTTGTGCCTGTCAACCCGTCACTGAGTTGTGTTGCCTCTTGCTCCCTGACTCTCATGGTCCCTCGAAGATGGGATTCCACTGACAAATGGCGTCGTTGAATATGCCCTTTGAGGCATGGTAGCGTCTCGCAAGCCTTTTCGTTAGCGGGAGCGGTGGCGTTGCCAACGGGAAAGGGGGCAGACGGGTGGCATGCAGGAGAGGAGAATGCTGCTGGAGCTAAGAAGAAACGGCTTCGTCCATCGGTCGTGGTCTTTTCGAGCTTGCATCTCTGAATGGCCGGTTCAGGATGGAATTGGATGTTCTTAGGAGAGGAAGTAGTGCACCGGAGTTGTGGTCTGGCCCCATGGAAGGCGAGGTGCCCCGTGCTCTCTTTCTACCTGCCCTGGGCTACCTTACAGGCCAGGGCAGGTACCTATGGGATGATGGTCCGTCCTCCGGTGAGGTGCAGCGCAGCGCAGTAGGCAGGCACTTGCAGGTAGAAAGCATCGTCCACCATCCACTACGGCCCCCGGCGGAGGACGGTTGACGAGCTCAGGAATGATTACAAGCCAATAGCGACCCTCCACTGGCCTCGCCTCCGGGGGCGCCACCCTTGAATTGCCCTCCCTAACCCCCGAAAGGGAGAAGACCCAGGGGGAGCGAGCAGCAAGAGGACCACCCGCCGAGGACCAACACGGCGAGGTGGGCGTCGATGGGCGGACATGAAATTGGAGAGTGACATTTTGCCGTCTTTTCGTCTCCCTCGGTGTCACTCACCACTAATCCTTAATCGCTAACTGTGCTCATTGCTACCTTGCCGTGTTGGAGCTATCCCAACCTGTGTCCGTTGACAGCTCTTTTTCCCCGTCGCTCTTTCTCTCTTTTTTTTCCTCTCCTGCCACTGCCCAACTCTGCGTCTTGAGGTACAGCAGCAGCCACCTCATTCCCTCGTCTCATCCTGTCTGCGTTGGACAACGCCCCCTTGACATTACTACATTGACGTACCTTGCCTCACCATACCGTCCTTCTTTATTCTTCTTCTCCCCTTCGTTTTGGGCCCTTGATGGCTCTCTTCCCCCTTCAGAGTACCTTTTGCCTAGTTTAGTCGCTGACGGATCCAATTTCTTCTTTACTCTTTGCTTCCTTAGTGCTCTGTCGCAGCCCTGTCTGTCATTGGAGCCGTAATTTACCACTCACTTCTCTCTTCTCTTCCTACCTTACCTATCTTACCTGGGCCTAGCTGTGTACATCCAATTGTGTTATCCGCTCTCTAGCAGCACTATTCATAGCTGCGCGGATTGACAGACAGATACATACACTAGCCGTCTGGAGGTTATCTCGTCCTATCCCTCCCGTTCTCTTCTCTGTCCAGCACAGCACAGCACACGCAGCACGCGCTCCAACCCTGCGTGCGTGCCATCTGCGCAACGCAGGTCCATCACATCCCCATCCCGCGCGTCAACCGCACTCTTCCTGCCACACCCCCCGAGGTCCGGCATTGACAAACACGACCAGCCTCTCCCACACCCAGCACGGCATTCCAGCTAGACCGGTCCAAGATCAGACCCCCCTTCCCTCCAAGTCGGATTCGGCCTCCACACCGGCTCTCTGTCTGTCTGCTGCAACCCTCTCCTACCCCCCGAAAAAAAAGAGACGGCCCAAATCCCTCTTCTCAACCCCTCGTCGCCAAAAAGAAACGACCAGGCCAGGACCACACAAACACCTCTCTGTGTCTTCACATTTTGTGCTTCACAGAGCTCAGGTTTGTGCCCATGTGCGGCTCGCCCATGCTCCTTGGCCTGTCCTACATGTTGCCGCCGCCTTTGCCGCTGCTTCTGCCGCGCCTGCAATCGCCCTCCTTCTCAGCCTTACCCCTGAAAATCGCAACCGCCATCGGTCAGGTCTGCCTTTGCTAAGCGACGACGACCCCCTTCCGAACCACTTTTTTGTTCTTCCACCCAGCAGAGAAGTCCAGAATCCAGAATCCACACCCCGAGCTCGCCCTGCGTTGCGCTGCGCTCTCGTCCCCTGGGGTTCACCGGCCCAGCTCCCTCAGCTCCTCACTTCCGGTCGCGAAACCCTTCACCGGCCGCGCAATCTACCGCCGACTGCCCACGAACGAACCCCTCCGATCCGAAGCCCACCGCGCATTACCGTAGGCCGGCGAGGCCACCGAAGGGAGGATGTCGCTCAATGGCCTAGACGACCCCAAGGTCAAGGAGGTCCACGACGCCTCCGTTGCGGAACCCGGAGGATGGTATGATGATCCCCTCCCCTCCCTTTCCAGTCTTGCCTCTTGCCTTCCCCACCATCATAGACAGAACCACAAGTTGAAATCTCCCTTCGTATGCTGGGGGACACTGCGACTTGGCGCATCGCGCAATGTGCTACGCGCCGATGGTGCTTCTACTCGTGGATAACCGTGGTCCCGTGTCTTTCCTCCGTCCCACTGTCACGCGCGTGTAGTTCTACGTAGGCTAAAACTGTTGCGCCAAACATAGGTTTCTCCTCAAGTATGCGAGTCGCGATGATGTCGAACTACTGGGTCGCGGGAACGGTGGCATCGTGGAGATCCGGAACAACATAGCTCAGTACGAAGACGAGAACGAGGACCATTCGCCCTTGTTTGGCTTTCTGAGGTACAGGCGTCGGAACGTAATCATTAAATATCTTCCCGAAGATTGCTCTCGACTTGTTCAAGGTGGGTTCTGCCTCTTGTCTCTGAGCGTCTGTACAGCGGCGCATTACGTTGCTGGATGGCGCCTTCTATTTTCTAGGGAGAGAAAGCTGACTCGGCCTGTCTTCTGACTACTTGTAGCGCGTGTAACTGTTCACTTCAACGCGGTGTGCGAGCGTTTTGCACCGTACAACACGACCTTCTCCATTGCTACCGCGAAGGAGCTCAAGGACACCAAGCTATCTGCCGCCTGCTCCTTGCACGCTGCGTCTGGCTCGACTTCGTCCTCTACAAGCTCGCTGCGACGGAGACGGTTGATGGAAATCGCGGAGGAAGAAGAGGAAGAACAGAGAGCTAGCAAAAGAAGATCAGTCGGTGACGGTCTGCCGGAAACCCCCGGAGAAGAGACCGCCGAGGCACCGAAGTCGCCAATCCCAGAAGATTCGCCGGTGAAGTTGAATACGGACCTGGCAAACTTGCCCGAGGAAAGCAAGTTCTCCGAGACCCTGGAGCCGCCAGAATTTGTCGGAGCCAGACCGTCCTCCCCCACAAAATCAATCGACGAAGGCCGGCGCATGTCATCACAGTCCTCGCGGCCCGAACTGTACAGCTCGTCCTCATACACCAGCACATTCGGCAAACCCAGAGTTAAGCTTGCACCGCGACCTTCACTCGACGTCGCCGGCCATCCGCGCACCGCAGCTGTGGGGGCAGCTTTTAGACCAATTTCGCAATTACCGTCCGGCTTCAAGTTATTCTCCAAGGGCGCCAAAAAGGGAAAGACCAAGGAAAATACTCTGGACCCTTCCGAAGCAACCCACCTTGACGAAACAACCGAAATCTCCTTGGCCGCCACCGCAACACCCCTACCCGACGGGGATCCCATTTCCCAGGTTGACGAACCCGTTAGACCACACACGAGCTCGGGACCAGGAGCCCGACCCACCACAAGCTCGGGCGCCTCAATTAAATCAGCCATGCCGGCCCTCACCACCGCCGCCCCTGCTACCAAGCAGACTATGACGCCCGAAAAGGCGCGTCTGATGAAGGCTATGAAACTGCGGGAAAAGAAGAAGAAACTCAGCATCCAACCCACTTCTGTTCCTGTCGCCGACGTCGATGTCGACGTCGACTCTGCCCCGACCGAGGAAAACGTCACTGAAGAAGACAAGGCGGAGCCTACTGAACACGTCGAGGAGCTAGCCGAGCAGACCCTTGCTACCGAGGCCGACGGCGAAGGAGAGAGACGACTCTCAGTTTCCAAGGCGGACTCTGGCATCGTTGTCGACGCGTCCTCCGTATCTGTCCACACCGACGTCGCTTCTGAAATCACCCAGAGCGACTCGCATCCTGCCTCTCCCATCATTGCTTCCTCCGAGCCTGACCACTCGACCAAGGCGTCATCGCTATCCGAGTCTACTGACGAGACGGTGAAGGAGACGGAGGAGGATCTCCAAGAGCCTGAAGCAGAGCCGGTTGATGACGAAGCCGTCGTGGACGAGACCCCCAAACCAATCGAGCCCCTGCCCGAGCTGGTTGAAGAACCCGAGACCGCCGCCATCGAAGACACCCAGCCCGAGACCGATGTCCCTGAATCAAGGGAGCCTGAGCAATCACTCCCGACCGATAACGAAGTGAAGCCTGTCGAGCAGGTGGAGGCGGCCGAGCCCGAGAAACAAGATACACCCGTTGTTGAGCAGACCCCGGAGGTCGCCCAGGTTGAGGAGCAGCTTCCCGAGGAGGTGCCAGAGACTGAGAAGTCCGAGGTCCAGCCTGCATCTGAGCTGGTTGAAGCTGAACTTCAGCCCAAACCTGAGAAGATCGAGGTCGAGGTGCCCAAGGCTCCCCTCACCTTGCCCGTCTCCAAGTTCTCCACGAGCCCAACGCAAGAGAAGGCTTCCTCGCCGAAGCAATCGCCCAAGGAGGACGTGAAGCAGGAGATTCAGACCGCCTCTCCGGCAAAGGAAGAGACGCCAAAGTCACCGCTGTCACCTCAATCCCCGAGCCTGAGGGTTCCCAGATCCAAGTTCTCGACACAAGATCTAAGAGCTGCTGCGACCGAGGTTCCCATGATCGTGTCACCGGAAGAGGTTCCTGAGGAGCCTCTTCAGGCCACTGCGGAGGAGCATGGCGAGAACGACCTCCAGTCAGCCGAGGCTGAGAAGCGGCACTCTCTCGTCGACCCCATCCGCACTGATCTCGACGAGTCTGAGAAGAAGGATGACGGCAACATCTCCGACGACGAGGATCTCATGAATGAACTCGACTCTGCTACCGTCGAGCACGCCCAGCCGGTAACCGTCTCGAAGTCGCCGATCACACCAGTTTTCCCTAGTCCTCCACAGCCCGCCAGCAGGCCCACCTCTCGTGGTGTCGTACGCACCATCTCTAACCCCATCCGCGGCAACCTTCTCACACCTGCTGATGTGGCGGCACAGGACCAGAACAGGAGATCCATCTCTTCTGGCGCCGCTTTTCTACACAAGATCACGCAGCAGCAAAATCAGAACCTCGCTCCCAAGCAACCTGGCAAGATTGGGTCTAGCATCTCCCAGCGAATCAAGGCCTTGGAGAAGCTCTCTGCAAACGCACCTGGCGTCGTGGAGACCGCCGACTCAAAGTCACCAAGGCCGTCTTCTGCATTCTTCTCCGTCAAGAGGGGAAGCGTCAGAGAGCCTCCTTCTCGATCACCATCGGTCATGGAACGCACAAACTCTCTCAGGGTGCCCAGCCCAGCGCCTTCATCAATTCTGGAGGACACAAGAGATTCATCCCCCGAAAGTGCCAAAACCCGTGGGAGATCCGGATCTATGGCCAACAGGCTCTCAATGTTCGAGGTCCCCGGCGCACAGCCGCCCAGAGGACGGCCTGAATCTATCTCTGTCACGGCACGGATCATCCGCGATCCCAGCCAAGTAGGCAGGGTCCCGGAGCCACCTAAGGATCCTTCTGAGTTCGGCCGCCTTGAGCTTAGGGAGTCTCCACTGGTCGTCGATCACCAGAAGGCCGAGCCAGAGCCTCCTATGCCCCCGCCCGAGCTGGCGAAGGTTGAGGTTTCCAAGGAGACGATTCAGGAGAGGAGACTTTCTAAGGAAAAGCGCCGCTCCCAGTCCGTCGACCCCGCAGAGTTGGATGAGCCCCCTCGCCGTTCCTCCCTCAGCATCATGAAGGATTTCATCAAGGACCGCCGCAAGTCCGTTACTTCGCCGTCCGCCGAGGTCCTCAGCGCTCCTCCTCCCATGTCTCCGTCCAAGTCCCCTACAAGACCCCCTTCCACTCACCAGAACTCCGGAGGCTTCACCCGTCGTCTGTCTATCAGCAGCCGTCGCTCCTCCATTAGCAAGGAGAACCTCGCCAGCGGAGCCATGTCGCCTTCCATGTTCACCGAGGGCAGCGGCTCCGGCGACGACAGCAAGTCTACTACCAGCGACAAGAAGAAGAGCCGTGCCAGCCGATTCATGCGCCGCCTGTCCTCCTCGCTCAGCAGCGCGGGTCGTAGTAAGACAATGACTCCCACTGCCATCTCCCCCACCGTGCAGGAGGAGGACACGCTTGAGGTCACCCGCCTCCAGCAGCCCACCCTCGAGGCCTTCATGGGCGATGTCAACGTCCAGTTCCCCGACAACCTGCTCTGGAAGCGTCGCAGCCTTTGCCTGGACTCCCAGGGCTTTCTGATCCTCAACGCCGTCGCTGGCTCTGCTTCCACCGCCGCCAAGGACAGGCCTTCTACTGGTGTCGGCATCAAGAGATACCATCTCTCCGAGTTCCGCACGCCTTATATCCCCGATGTCGAGCTGCAAGAGCTGCCCAACAGTGTTGTCCTTGACTTCGTTGAGGGCTCCGGCCTGCAGGTTGCGTGCGAAGATCGCGCCGGACAGTTGAATGTCCTGCACAGTAAGTTGCCATCACTCCCATGTCGAAGATAATGAGCTGACCCTTCCCAGTTCTCCAAGACGCGCATCAGAGCCACAGCTCCTTTGGCCAGTAAGCTGCTATGACTTGGAATCTTACCTACGTACACCAACTTCTTCATCAACCCATTCTACTATACCCACACACTTCCATTCTCACCAAAATCACCAATCACGCCAACCCGCCGCTTTTCTTTGTCCACGTCCCTTCTTCACCCTCTCGCCTTACGACGACCTCAGGCTCGACATTCATTGCTCTCGCCTCGTCACTTATTACCGACACCACCATGCCAGCCAGCACCCAAGACCATGCTGGCAGCTGGACTACCCGACTACGCCTCCGACACACCTCTTCCCTAACTTACAGGGCACTAATTGCATGTCGCATGGCCCGACGCCCATTACACGTATTACTTGCGTTTTTTTTCTTCCTTTTCTTCATTATCGCACTTTTTTGCACTTCGTTTCAGTCAGGAAATGATACCACCCCGCAAGGGGACCGTTCAGGTTGGAGAGAGAGAAGCATTTGGAGACGCACTTTGGCTTGTTTGGAAATGCCTATCCAACAGAGCTTAAAACTAGCTTTTCATATGCGAGAGAGATACGGCTTCTTGCTTTTTTTTTTCTTTTCTTTGAGAGATGTAGAAAAAATTGGGGGAGGCGATGCAGATACAGACCGGAGGGGAAGGAGGACGACGGCCTCATTTTTTCGGCGCGTTAATACCCACAGATTACGCACGCCTGTGTTGGAGAATTCTGAAATGTACATACTAGAAGACCTACTACCATGTTCCCCCGTCAAAGGGGGAGGATGGGATTTGGAACAGGCTGGCCTCCGTGGGGGCTATAAAGATGCTGATATCTGACTTGGCTTCCCTTCTTGATGTGCCGCTATGTGACGTGGGGCGAGTGCGTGTGTTCGTGGGTTAGCCAGAAGTGCTGCTTGCTGTGATGACGCGAAATCTGAAAGCAACGAATAAGCTGATGCTTGAAGCGGGCGTCGTACCCGGTTTTGGCCGACAGGAAGGTTGATCCATCAAGCATTCAGAAGCATGATGTACGTCTGCCAACCTCGTTATAGATGTAAGCCAGCACGCCGCCTCGTTCCGTCTCATTCACCGAGAGAATTATGTGCCGGTTGGTATGTATCTTCTAATGTCTTGGAGAGGCCGATAATGGTGGCCACTTCCCGTGACCTACCTGCCCTGTCGTTCAAGATCTCTTAGATTCGTGCCTGGGCAGTCTGAAGCGGAACAAATATCGAATACTCCACGTTGAATACATCGCAGACTGAAGAGGAAAACAGAGATGAAGGCTGGTATTTGGGGGGGATTTTGATTTGAGATGGGGTATCTTGATGGGCCACACGACAGATATTAACGCTCGATGCTATTGCATTCGTAACGCCTGCAGGTAAATTTGAGGCGAACGTCAATATGATCTTGTTGCAGAATTTTCTTTTGCCGAGACAGAAAGCCGTTTTTTATACACTTCGGCAACGTGCTTCCTTTGGGGAATTTGACGTTGGTAAAAAGCAGGAGGCGATGTCGAAGACCAAATTAGCGATGGTCTTGTAGTCAAAACTCGATGTCAATAACATGGAAGACAGGACTCGCTCTGCTCTCAAAACCACGAAGTTATTACTTTTTCGGACATGACCGGAGCGAATCGGTACTCGCCGAATACACAGGAGATAGAGCTGGTGGGGAGCGACGGTTGAGACGATGCCAAGTCAATCATTACGATTATCACCCTTGAGTTGTTATCTTTCCAAGAAATGAATGCATCACCAGACCAAATAGCAAGCTTGGATTTCAAGTGGTCCACGTGGGGGCAATTGCTTACGCTGATCTGAGGAGAGCTTGGCTGCACTTGTATTCTTTCAATCTAACCGTAGTAGATAAATATGGATGCGGTGGAAGAGTGTTGTCATCATCCATGGATTGCCCGTTCGTCTCGGATATTTAAACAGTCCTTTAGTTTGTACATTATCTTGACTTTGTACAATGTTCCAGCAGAATGTGAGTGCGCTTTGTTGTACTCGATGAAAACCTAATCATATTAGGCGAGAGGCGATTCCACATGACGCTTCCAGTGCTTTGGCATTGACGGCAATCAACCGCAGTCGAGGTGTATTTGCAAACATCGTTGCGTGATCTTTGCTCATAAGCAGGATACAACGGAGGCGAGAGACGACGACGGACCCGTAGATATTGGGGCGGCTGTCAGGACGACTGCGGGAGGCGTTGGTATTCTGGACAGCTGGACGCGATTGGGGGGTTCTCTGAGGGTTTGAGACCTCCGAAGACAGCGTTTCGTTCATTGTGCTGAGGGTTTCGTTTGACTGGGAGCCTGTCGCCTTTTTATTTGGACCGCTTCGGATTGGCATAAGGGTTGATGCGTGGGCAATGGGTGTTTCTTGTCTTAACGGTTCTGACCACTTTCTATGCATTGAGATTGCGATTCTTAAACCATGTCGAAGTCAATGCTGCATTTCTCAGATATAAATACTGCGCCGGCACTGATGATCACAGGACTTTTTCTTCAATAGAAGCCGACTTCCTCGTTATACCTTTCCCCACGCCAGAGGCTGAGCACAGGAAGAAACACTGGTAATGTCAGAAACTGTCCATACGCGCGCATGCCCATACTAATTCAGTTTTCAATCAAGCTGAAACTCATTTCTTGGGACAAATACTTGGAAAGTAACAGAGGGACGAGACAAAAGAAGAGGTCGAGACAGGTTGTCCATGTTATCAGTGTTGTTCCGAGTTGCGGCGTCGTCGCAAAGCTGACTCTCTTATAGAAATCCAAAAGCGAACAAAATAGGGGAGTATTATTTGAAGAGTTCAGAAATATGCCACAACACGTAAAGTTATAAGTACCAGCTGCTTCTGAAGATGCCCACTCTGGTGGCAACAGCCCAATGATGACTGCCAGTCTATTCTAGACAAACTAGACCCTTCCGAAGAGACAAATGGCAGGATATGTTCATGGGTTGAAACCGTAGATCGTGCAGCACTTACAAGTGTGCAGCGCTAGTATACACAGACGAGAACGACGATGACGATTGACAGCGTCCTGTCACGAGATCGCACGAGCTTGTTCTTCCAACTATCTCAAGCTGAGATCCGAGTACGAAGAAGACATTCTTTGGCTACTTCACGCGACGAAGTCAACAGTTACACAACATTGTTTCTGATGCCCCTCTTCTAGCCGAGGGGAAATGCTCTCATACTAGGGAGGCACGCTGACAAAATCGATTGTCAACCCTGAAATTGACAGATCTTGGGCACTTTAAAGATCACCTTCAAGAAACGCGAGCTCATTCGACTGCCAGATGGAATATGTGGGCACCTTCTGTCCATCGTTTTCGCATACAGACGTTGCCATCAGGGGCTCCTAACAACCATGGAGCCATGTTAATCTTTTCCGCAGCTTCGAGTCATTCTTCGTATGAATACTTCACCAAGCGTGTTGAATATAACATCCCGAGTACACGATAGGGAAGAACTGGGGCCGCGATGGGCCAGGCCATCCATGTCTAGGTTCTCGCCCATCAAGAGGAGGGGCGCTCGTATAATTATGTACGATGCTGCCGCTGTCAAGCCAGGCGTTTCGTTCATTCCTAGAGCTCTGATCGAGTGCCCAATCAAATACTCAAGTGATCTTCGCTTAAATAAGCGTCCGTCAATGAACAAGGATGGTGAGGATTCTGAGATCCACGAAACCACGGATTCTGAGTTTTGTTGGATGGAAGAGAACGTCACTGGTAAGCCGACTTTGCAAAGATCCTTCAATCCCCTGCCTACATGCAGAACCATTTTGTTCTTGTGTGTGCCAACGATGATCTCTCCTGGACTCTGAATTTAAACCCGCCTGGTGAAAGCAGGGCCCTCGAAGTGCGTCTGACTTACCGTGCAGCTGCGGGAAGGGTTTACGGAGCGCTTGAGCTCACCGGTTCATGGACCGTAGCAAGACTAACCATTCTATATTAATCGTACTTGTCGTTATCTCAGGACCCGCCAATGGTCTGGGGACGGTGCGTTCGAACTTCATTAACATTCCTGACGAAGATGGTCGGTTCCACCACCAGCAGTTTGAAGACTCCAGAGTTCATGCGGACTGTGTTCCATCGCGCCGAATACACGTAGACAACAACCCCAAGAAGATAATGAAGCGCTTCGGAAGTTATTAGTGTCAACTTTTTCAATCACACTGGTGTCAGAGAGTCTACTTCTTCGATGCGTGATAGAAGCAGATATCACAAATCCACGACATCTGTCGGGATCGACACCGTTCTAGCTACTCCGACTAGGGAAATTCCTGGAGTTTTTGAGCAGCGCAGCTGCGGCTGCGAGTTTATTTTATATTCCAGCTTGCCTGAGCTGTGAGTGCCTAAAGGACAGCCCGGGTCGTCCTACCAGGACCACGATTTTGATTACGCTGTGGCTCCTGCTCTGCAGAGCTCTTGACTTGACATTGCGCCAAATGCCGACCAATCCACACGGTCAAGATCTTTCATCATCAGCCATAAATAATTGCGTCGGGTACTGAGACTAATTAGATCTCGATGAGACAAAACAATGTCCATTAAAGTCATCAGGTGATTTGGCGTGTGAGATTAGGTCATGCTCCGGGGCCATACGCGGACACGCTTCGACCTCGCCAGCCACATCGATATACTATGTCTTGATTGAAACATAGGCTTTCATGTTCATCCTATGGCAGGATAAAAGAGGACAAAATACGCTCAAAGCAGCAGAAAAGCACGCCAGAAACGCAGGGGGTACACAACCTGGTCTGCCAGATGAGCAGCTGGTCTCGCACCACCGCTATACGAAGCTTAGGAATTGCCATTGCGTAAGCATATGAGGACCTAACCGACTGTGCTACGTACGTTGCAAACCGAAGGACGCCTCTCATTTATGCTTGAAGCTTGCTGGCCACGACGTTCATAACATGATTGCCGAGGAGTCGCAAGACGGTATGGCGCCAAAGTATCACAAACAGGAAGTCAGATTGTAGCGCTGGGACATCGTCACGTGTGGTAACTGTGTCATCCTGCGCACGGTTT